TGTGTTTAAAAGTCCAAAAATATTTTGGAGGATGTAAAAAGTTTAACAAGACACATTGTGAAAGAAAATCTTTATTTATTTGAATTTAAGTTGGTTTAATGCTGATGTTTGCTCTGATTTCAAAATAGATTAATCATGAATTTTTTATTTTGAAAAAAATCCAACCAAGTATAACAATTCAATGTTGAATATAAATATAATACATTTCAACATCTGCTTTTAAACTTATGGCCTTTTCATTATCGTGGGTCAAAAGTTCAGGTTTAGAACAATGGAGTCAGAGAAATATTTCATGGTAAACCACACCTTCATAGATGTACAAATACAGTCTTTCTGTGTGATTTCAGTCAATGAGACCTTACAGTTGGTTCAGTGGTTAGTGATGGATTACACCACAAAAAAAACCACAGGGTGAGGTAGGTCAACGGTGTCAACTGAGATCTGTGTGAAAGACCAACTCAAGGAAACAGGTAAATATGGAAAATTAAAAACATGATATCAGAAGGTTGCCTTTCACCCAGCAGTGACTATTTATGTCGATAACATGCTAACCTTGTGTGTGATTTCTAAATTAGAAAACGTACTGTGTCTTTGTGTTCCATGTCAAAACAATTGTTTGACTTCAGGCGTTTGTTGATCCTACAGTAGAAGGTGGATGAAAGTTCCAGCATCAGCATCCTGTAGGAACACGTCTGGAACTCTGTGGGATATTTATGTATTTGTACACTTCCTGAATGGAACTCACCAAAAGACTCCACTGTTGCACATGTCCAAGTCTCCTGCTGATTTCCTCACGGGCCTTTTCTTTGTGCTGCTGTGGAATTAATTTGAAAACATGAATTAAAAACCTCACATCTTCCACGTCTGTCTATTACAGTAACTCTGACGTTTTCCTATAAATATGCTTGAAAATATGGACCTGCGGACGGAGGTTTCTTCGTGTGTTTTGGTTCAGTCCACCAAGACGTTTAGAATCTTTTGTCTTGTTCCTGGAAAATAGAAACACACGTTGAATTTTAATTCATTTCATTTAGTTTTCAGGGACCATGTACAACAACATTCATCAAACGTAGGTAACAAGAGCATGCAAACAGATTTAGCCACAGGCTAATTTCCAGTCTACCTGACTGTTATCAATGGCAGTGGAAAAGCCAGCTACTGTGATCACATGACATGAGAGAACTGCACTCTCTGGTCTGTCTCCTATAAACAATACCAAGACAACCATTAAAGGAAACTGAACTATGGCAATCACAAACTGTTGACACCAACGTTTTCTTTATGACAGGCGTTAGTAAAACAATAAAAATTAAAAAAATCCTCCAAGTATAAGTCTTCGGTCAAATGTCACACCTCGATAAAGACTCAGATGTGTCATAGATGAAACTGCCATACACCTGCCATCCATTGTACCCAAACCTGTAGGTAACATCATGTTGAGCACACTGCACTATAAATCATCAGAACAAATACTTTGCATGGGCGGGATTGGGTTTCCATATCATTCCAGCTCTCCGGTCGTACTTTAAACCTGAGCGCTGATTCGCTAATGCCTGGGTGTGTTGTGTTTTGAATTCATGGTGTGTTTCTGTTGAAGCGTTGTGCAAACAAAAATACAGCCTAACTACAGGTGTAAAAATATTTCCTCGTAATTCCCTGTAATCCACATGTGGTAATTCAGGTTTGCTTTTTGTTTTGTTTGTTTTTTAGGTAGGAAGACCAATCCAAAAATGTGTTTTGGATTGGTTTTCCTTTTTTTTTTTTTTCTTCAATCAAACAAACAACAAAAACTTTTTTTAGATAGAATAAAAAAACAGCAAACACAAAAAGTGAAGTGGAGTGGGACAAAAGTTCTATTATTTTATCAAGTCAGACCTAGACATGTATGTGTTCTTGTCAGTTGGACGTAACAGACAATCAAACAGGGAATTACAAATTTTCAAGTCAGTTCCACAGTAGCGGTGTACTCTAAAATGTTTCCTATTAATTTAATTTTTTTTTTTAAGATAAAACAAAGAGTAAATCAATGATTAAAAAATAAAAATAGAAACTAAAAATAAAATAATAATAAACATAGAATTAAGATATAAAATATATTATATTATAATTATTATTAAATTAAATAATATTTAAAAATAAACAAAAAAAACAAAATCAAATATAAACTGTTAAAAAAATTATAAAAGGATTTAAGAATAAAAAATAAACAAAACAAAAAAAGATAAATAAAATAAAAATATTTAAAACAAATAATAAATCCCAAACTAACTCTAACACTTACCTACTACCCTGACCCTTGTGACCTCAATATCATTAATAACTCTTACCAAATAGGAGTAAACCTGAATAAGAAACAAAAATACACAACCTGCTATTATCAAAAAAAAAAAAAAAACCAAAAACTCCTGTTACTGCACAGACACATCAGGGTGTACGGTGAATACAGTTGGTGGGTTCTGACTCACACCACCACTGTGTGCAAACACAGGCCAAATCACAACAGTCTGATCTTAGGCTCAGTCTGTCTGGGTGTTTGAGGTCTGCAGTGTGATGTTAACACATTATTATGGTCTGTGTCAGTGTGTCATCATGTCATGGGCCGAGCTACATCAGTTAGATAGCAGCAGAGCTCCATTCCTAATGAGTGATCTACAGTCAGCAGCGACACCTGCTCTGAAGTTAACGGTGACAAGTCGCTAATGTGTTCATTGGGAAATTGTTTACCGGATGAAGACGTCACAATCTGAATATTGCAAATTTGGATTTTTCCCCACATGTGCCGTATGCCATCCCTTGTGTTTCACAGCTAGCAGTTCTTCTAATCTTAGGAGCCATTAAAGCTGTTAAAGTAGATTTTAGGTTCTTACCGTCTGGATGTCTCTCTCTCTCTCTCTCTCTGTCGCTGGAGACTTTCTTCTGAGCTGCCAAAATATGGAAAAAGTTTCTCCGTTACCAAATAAAAATTTTTTTTTTTCATTGCTTTTCATGATGTTTCATATCTAAAAACAATCCCTACGTTGACCTTTGAGCCTGGAGTGAACTGCAGATGAGTCTGCTCTGTATTAGCTACATGTGTGAGTGATTTAATATTTTTACTTTTAATCTGCCACAACGACGACCACATTTTAGATGAAGCCTCAAATCACTGGACTTAATGACAAGGTTTCCACTGCCTTGTAATATTAAACGGGTTCATTCAGGGTGTCGTGATTTCGAATGAATAATTTAGTGGTAAACTGAGCAGTGCTGTCGCTGACTGGCGCCAGGAAGGGTGGTCACATGGGGGTTAATTTGAAGGGAAAATGTAAACAATATTTAGCAAGTTTTTTGTTTCTTTTCATCTCTAATCATCCAATCCGTTTCAGGGTCACGGGTGGAGAACTTGATAGTAAATGTTTGCCAGTACTTCTCAGTGATTACGTTTTATTGTTTATTTTATTTTTTATTTAGGAGGAGAGGAGAGACAGTTGGTTTGTGTCTTATCGAGCTCGTGCAAGACAGGGGATCACGATTGGTCAGTTTTGGTAAACAGACCAATCAGATTTCAGCAGAAGCGGGCCTTAATGTAAAATTCCAGACAAAATGTTTGATTTTAGATATGCTAATGTTGGCTTCGATGATCGTAAAATTCACTTGAAATTCAGTGTATGTGCTCAATAGTCCGACATATACTGAGAGGTCAGCGGTCACTACACAAAAAGTCCAAAATAGCTGTGTTTTACGGTGAAAGAACATATAAACAACCGGATTACCGTAATAGCAACACAGTTTAGCGACGCGGTTTACGGTACATAAATAGTATACGTTATACACACTTTTTACTCTCACGAAATAAAATAATTGATTGCGTATATTTTATAGACTTTTCGTACGTTGGAATGCCTGCTATACAACCTTTAAACATGCTTTCTGCGACGGACGCTGTATCTCAGGCGACCGTCACCTCCTTCAACTCCTCCTCCTCGACTTTCCCTCTGTTTCCGTATTTAGCAGTTAGTGTTGAAACGGGCGTGTTTCTCTGTCCTACGCACTCCCACAGTGACGTGATGAGAAAAGTTATCACAATAGTGATAAGCTGAAGTGGGAGGAGGAAGGAGCGGAGGAGGAAGGAGCTCGGTTGGGGGGGGAACCAGCACACGTACACGCACGGACCGGTGTGGAGGCTGATATGATCGACGGTACTGTGGACAGTAGCATCAGAAGAGACCGGAGGTTCTGACGGACGAGCCTCTCCTAACTTTACTAACTTACTTATTTATTTACTTACTTATTTATTTATTCACCCGGGCCTTGTGTTGTGTTGTGTTTCCGACGAAGATGAACGGAATGACGAGGAGTCTGTGCACCTTTGAGGACATCCGACAACAGGAGTATGGGGTGAGTTAGTCGGTTACTCGCAAGTTTGACAAACTTTTGACTTTGTTTTTTTTTTTAAAAAAAAAAAAAAAAAAGATTTTGAAAACAGAGTAGTTGAAGTTTGAATATTTAAGCTGCAATTGTTTACGTTGTTTATTCTAGAAATTTTAATATTTAAGCTGCAACTGTTTACGTTGTTTATTCTAGAAATTTTAAATCCATTCTAATCATTACCTCGTGACAATAATTCAAGTTAACCACTCATTAATTACATTAATTAGTTAGTTGTTTGTTCCACTGAATAAATAATATTGTGTAGGATTAGAACTTCCCAAACCTAAAATACATTTGTTCCCAATTTCCTATTTTATTTCTTATTTTGCTATATCTCTGCAAACTGTATTCCGAGTTAATTTGTAAAACAAAATAAAACTAAAAATATATTTAAAACAGAACATTCAGACCTCAGTCCATTTTCAAATTGGCTGCAGAATCATGTAATATGCAAATTTACAACATACTCTTTGGATATCATGGAAATTTCAAGTTTTACGCAAATGTTTTTGTTTGTGTGTTTTTAAGCCATTTGACACAAATAACACAGAACTTTTTGATGCAGAGCCGATTTTAAAACGTACATTTTTAGTTTCTCTCTACGGCGTCGTTTGATCATCATCAGGCGTTCAAATCGATTCCCTGTTTGGCAGGTCAGACTGTGGCTGTCTTCTAATCTACCGTGTAGTATTTAAAGTATTAGACTTGCATGCTTATTTCAGACACGACCTAAACATAGCATCCTGGAATTAGTCAGAATAACCTGTGCGTGACACGGATGCTTACTGCTTACATCATACGGGCTGCAACACCTGCATCAGAAATTTAACCACAGCCTCCGTCATCGGCTGCAGCACCTGCGTGTCAAGTCCTGGTAAACATGATTATACGTTTAAACGCTCATTCTCTACGTGTGTTCACGAGCTGCTCTGTTCACCTGAACATCAGGCCTGTTCAACTGAAAGCTTAATCATTCACCTCTGCCTAAGAGGAAAACCATTAACTGCATTTTATGAGTCTGCGGGAGAGAACGTGACACTTTCACCTTAGCTTTCACCGCAGCCGCAGCCGCAGCAGCAGCAGCAGCAGCAGGAGCACGCGCCGCAGGCGCCGGCACCGAGCCTGTCCTCTGGGCTCATATCAGATCACTGTGTTTACTGAGGCCACACTGAGAAAGCAGTTATGTTTAAATCATATGAACTGACTCTGGTCACAGACACATTATACAACTGTGTTAATGGTCTGGAGACCAGCCGGGTCAAACACAATCACTCACCGGGACAAAAAACTAAAAGTCAGTCTACACTGAGAGCCAAACAGGTATAACAGAGAATGCTGTCACCAGAAATACTGAAGAGACTGCAACGACTTTTACCTCAATAAAATACATATACATTGCCATGCATATCTTATACACGTGGACAACTTGACAACTGCATTTAACCAATCCTGTAAACATAAGTATCGACCTGGTAAATTGTTTTGTGACTTGACAAGAATAGGGTTCTTCGACTGTATAAACCTCAATTTTTTTCCCCTGGTAAATTGTTTTATGACTTGACAAGAATACGGTTCTTTTTAAAGCAACCACATGAATGTTAAGCTGTGGTGGGCCACAAAAAACGTGTGATGGGCTGAATTCGGTCCACGGGCCTTGAGTTTGACATATGTGGTCTAGACAAATATATCACATTCTCTTGTGTACCAGGCCATGCTGTTTGCCAGAAAGGCTTGAGTGTACAGTGATCAGAAGTAATCATGCCTCTAATAAACTGATGTACGCTCGCTGAGCGTGCGTCATGAAGCCGTATATGATATTCCATATGTGCTCGGAGACTGTTTGTTCAGCAGATTAGCAGCAGGTAGTGTAAGTCATAGAGCATTAGCATCAGATTCAAACAGGACCCATAGGTTGTCAAACACAACATTTACATATCTGACTTGCTTATCCGGGTCAGTCTGAGAAAAAAACCAGACACGGGTTTTTGACTTCTACACATTATACACTAACCGTTATCAACTTTATCAAGATAAACCCAGGGAAGGAATGTGCTTGATATGGAGCATGTGGTTTGTTTTTTTTTTATCGTTTTGATAAGAGGTTTCTCAGGAAGAAGAGAAAGGAGAAGGGATCAGCAGCCAACTCTGAGGTAGTGTCTTCTGATATTTGTGAATTGCATTTCCTCCCTGTGACAAATGCATACTTGCTGTTCAGAAACATTTCTCAAAATAGTGTTACAGAGGAGTCCGAGTGACTCGATACATTCCCTCTCTCTGTCCTCATCTGTCTTTCCCGTTTCAGTCAGGAGTGTGTGACATCACTGACTGGGAATCGACCAAACTTGACATGTAACGTGTCTGCATAGAGTAATGACATCAGCACGTCAGGTCACACCTGGAAAACCACAACCATCACACACAGCAGAGGGAACACAGACATTTTTACTTCACCCATCACACAGAGCAGAGGGAACACAGACATTTTTACTTATAAAGTAAAGGGCCAGTCCAGGTGTTTTTTTTAACTGGGGTATGTGATAAACTGACACGTCATCAATGCACAGATGGGAAAAAGACTCCAGACACAGACAGTCACCGAAGACATGACCCAGGGCGAAAAGATACCACAATTTACTGGACATTGTTGGAGTCTGATGCACGTCTCCTGTCATGACCTTTGATCTGTTTACCTTTAAATAATCAATGTCACCTGACGATGGTGATTCTTTCATAAGCACCTCCTCTCTTAACACCTCAGCGCCACTGATACCTTTACAATTCACCACGTCTTTATCTCAACAGAGACTGACTAAAGGTCACGGCTCAAACAAACAGCAAATTATTTACTAACCTCCGAAGTAAGTGATGGCTCATGCGACGGTCACGTCTCAGAAGGCAACCAGGTGGAGACACAATGAGTCTGGGACCTGGTAAAGAGAACAAAAGTCCAATGCTTTAGTTAAATAACCGCCACCACAAACATCTAGTCGGATTATGTAAATTTACCAAAAGAAGCTTTCAGGTTAAACTGGAATAAAATAGTTAGTCTCTCAAGACTTAACCTGATGGTGCTTAGCCTTCAGTAGAACAAAGACGAAGAAAGAACTGCCACAAAGTAGGGGATAAACAGCTAAGAAAAAAAATATATGAACAACATTGAACTTCAAATCTGAAGACTGGGCCGGGATTGGACGGATGGGTGTCACGGCCTTTGGCCTATGGTACCTGTGTTTTTGTCTCAGAACAGGCTGAGGTTTATATTGTAGAAGGGAGAAAAACAGTGGCATCTGTTCAGCAGATGTGTGTGTGGGGGCATTGTGTAAGAGACACGGTGTGATTTACATGTAGGTGAAATAAATAGAAACCTGAGAATTTTAATGTCAGGTTAGTTTCTTTTTTCCAAACACCCCTCTGAGCGACATTTTTATTTCCTCGTCCCAGATTCAGCAGCTCTGGTTGTTCAGTAACTATCACAACAGAGGTTCCTCTTCAGCTGCTTCAGCACAGATGATTTACAAACCTCCCGGAGCCAAAGTCAAAAACAAAAGTCTCTTCTTGTCACTCTGAGCCTTTCTGCTCAGTCATCCCCCACAATCCTTTGTGGCCATTGTAACATTGCCCGGCAGTGTGGCTGCAGTCTGTGTGTGAGGTTTGTTTCAGGTTTCTGTCCTCTGTTAAAAAGCTGACGTGTACTTTGAGTTGCTGTGTCCATCCTCGTGTGTTTTCCCACCTCGTAGCGGCTGTATTTGTGCACACACATGCGTCACTCTCATGAGCACATCCGACGCGTTTCTTTGTCAGTGTTCCTAGGAAAATCTAATATTACCAGTTGGCTTTAGAAGGTTGTACACCTTACATACTACTTTGTCAGTTTGCGTGTGTGAGAGAGAGAGAGAGAGAGAGAAAGAGACAGAGAGAGAGAGAGGAACACACAGTCCTAAAGAGTATAAAAAGAAACCAGACTGAGAGACTAGCATATAAATAGTCAGTGGCACTGGGAGGATTAGTCTTTGTTCAGTTGTCCATGAAGGGCCAAAGCAGTGGTATGGTGATGGATTCCTTCCCAACAACCCGCTCTCTGTTCACCCCTTCTCTCCCCCCTCCTCCCTTTTCATCCCCTAATCACTGTGGCCTATTACAGCTTTCAGGTGTCTGTAACCTGAGAGGAAAGCATGTTCAACAGGAGCTTTTATTTCTCTGACTACAGTGTTTGTTGTCCCCGGGCCCCTCCTCTCCCCCCGCCGCGCCGCGCCCCGGCTACGGAGCCCTTCATTGGACATTGAAAAAGTCTGCCTCATGGTTGCTCTCCGTGTCCTGTCTCTCCTCTGGCCTCAGCTCCATTTGTCCTCTCTACGTTTGTCTACGTATGAATATAGACCCTGTTCAATATAAGGGTCGTCTTACAAAAACTGTCCGCCCTGTTACCTCTGTCTGATTTTAATCTTTTAACATTTCCAATCTTTAAACACATGGTGTCCATTGTCCATTAAAAGTCACTGTTTATGAGCTTTCAATATTTTAGATTATTATTATTTTCTGAACATTTGAAGGATAATCGATTCATTAGGTCAAATTTGTGATACAAAGCAGTTGAAATTGCAATTGAAACTGCACAGTTTTTATTAACTTGTGTGTGTGTGTTTAGTGGGTGTGGCCTTAGTACAGTCACACTTCTAAAATATTCCTTAGTGGGTGTGGCCTAGTACAGTCACACTTCTAAAATATTCCTGTAAATAAAGTTTTTTTTAGTCAAACCCAAAAGTAAGTTTTGGGTCATAGTACCACAGAAAACTGACTCACACAGTACGGTTACACTGATGGTTATTACTATTACACTGAAGTTAGTGCCACCAAAGGATGATGGGAAATATAGGCAGAGACGTAAGAAATTTCAGGTCCTAATAAAGAATCGGTAACAGCGCCAGAAATGATCCTAAATATGGCAACAGACGTGAACAGCCGCACGAACACACGCCGCACGCCTCTACATTTCTCAATTCCTCAACATCACTCCTGTCAGTTTGCTTACTCTGACATATTTGATGTGGGTGAACACACCTCTGTGGCTGCTGGCTCCGGCACATTATTTATTCCCGGCAGACATTTCTTTCCTGCCTGTTTCACGTCTGGGTTGTGACATTGGATCAACAGCAGGAGGAGGACACGGTGAACCGTCCGGGAAACAAACAGTACACTGCATGTGTGTGTGTGTGTTGGGCTGGAGTTACATAATGACACTGACCTCCTCCCTCACTGCTGCATTCTTGTCCATGGACGGACACACACACACACACACTCAGTGGGAAGACCTGCTGAGGGGGGTTCCCTGCACTGACAGACACACATCAGATAAACTACGTCCTGGGCTGACCCAAGTTGAAGAAAACATATAAAAAGTGTGTGCGCTGCTTTTCCCAGAATTCCAAGTGTTGTTCACGCGCATTGTTGCGTTTCTGATCCCCTCCTCCGTGATACGCTTAATAGACCAGAGAGTTTATGGATTCTGTGAGGTTTTGTCGTCATGGAAATACTCTTCTGTCTTCTGCAAACTTTTTCCCAGAAATCCTTCCCCTGGTCACCATTGGCTGACAGCGCCTGGAGGATTTCCTCCTAAGTCCCTCTGACGTCCACAGCACACAATTTAAATCAAACAATCTGTCTCTGTGCATCAGGGGGAAACTTTACTTTCTCTCTACTGCCTGTACCCCCCCCCCCGCGCCCCCCCGCTCCATGTATGACTCAGTCTCTCCTCCTCTTTTTTCCACTCTCCTCCTCAAAATACTCCTCAAACAGCCTCTCCATCATATAACGGTCTCATTGTGGTTTCACTTCATTTTGCCCTTTTCTTCCTTGTCGTGTACAGGAGGGCTGCCGACGGTTGAGGCTCACGCTGCACGACCAGGGCCAGGCGGCACGGAGCGCACAGCAGCACTGGGACAAGGTAAGAAGAACTTTACGTCTCGCTCTTTAAGGACAGACCAGCAGGAGACAGAATGATATTGTGTTACATGAAGTAAGACTCGTGTGTGTGTGTGTGTGTAACTGAATAGGTGGTTCATGTACTTGAGGGAAAGGTCTTCCAAACAGATGCTGCTGTTTTACTGCCTGAAAATTAACTGCAGGTTGTTTCGAGGAAAACACCTTCAACTCTGATAACATTTTGAATATTTTTAAATCATAAAGCTCCGCCAGTGAAATAGAAGATAAGAAGATAAGATCTATCAAATATCTACCGTGCAACATTCCTCTACTCAAACCGTGACATTCCAGGCTAGAGTGAATCCTACAGCAGCAACACATCAGCGTTTAACTCTCCTATAGTTTAATGAAATACAACATTTTTTTAACCAAATCCAGCATCAAAATGAAATAAAGTGACCATGGAGGCAAAGAGTTACATAACACCACCCCCCCATCATCCCCTGCTCTCACTCTGTGTTTATGTCTGTGACAAACACACTGGGTGTTTACTGCTTCTAAAGACACAGCAGATGTTTATGGGTTTGTCTCTTGAGTATCACTGCATCCAGACCAGACCAGACCAGAACAGCTCACAGCTGTGGACGAATGAGAATAACAATCTGTAGATGCAGCTGAGAGAAACTTTCTTTTTTTTTTTTTCTTCTACCAAATGTAATTAGGCAACTTATTAGATCACCGGACGTTTGCTGGTGTTTTGTAACCTGTTATTGAACTGATTAAAAACTGTTCTGTGGGGAAGTTGGTTCACATGTCGACACATACTGGAAACTAATTCAGATTCCTGCAGCACATTCCTTGTAAAAAAAAAAAGAAAAAGGTGCTGCCCTTCAAATATAATATATCTATCTCCAAGGACCACCACTACCACCAACAATCAAATACAACAACACAGATCTACCTGAGATTGTTAAAGTATTTATCAGCCAACACATCCTTCACAACAGTCTTCAATACAGTCCTCAAACCACACACAAACACAGAGCAACAATTAAACCACTCACATTTGATCCGACTTCAGAGACAACTCAGCATTTTTATAAATATTTAAATAAATAAGCTACAATAGTCCAGTGACCTCTGCTTCTGTAGAAATGTCCAAACATTGGTTTCACTTTCTTTTCTCTGCCTTCCAGCCAGTCGGACGTGCCTTTGCACTGGTGCAGCCAGCCAACGACAGAACAGCTGTGAACCCAGAGCCTGTCAAGTCTAGGGAGGAGCAGGTTGAAGTTATTAAGGTGGGTGAAAAAAAAAAAAAAAAAAAACCCTGGATGAATCACATATGAGAGGCTGGCAAGAGGTTACAGTTTGACTCTCGTCTTCTGCAGGTTTATCTGGAGGCCCGTAAACAAGAGCAGCACAAACACCAGCAGAGTCTGAAGATGCTGTCAGATGAGGTGTCACAGATACAGGAGGTCAGTTTATCACACCTACATTTTAGGGTTGTAGGCAGGTGGTGGAGGGAGGGGGGAGTTTACAGCCTGGACAGTCACTCAGTCCCTCACAGTGAAAGTGAAAGCATGGATTCACACTGCACTCATCATTCAGAGAGTCCATCTACCTTGGAGGAACATGTCAACTCTATACTGAAAACCAAGGATAGAACCATTACATGAGCCGAACAATCTCTAAATAAATCTACAATCCTGTCAATCAGTTGTCCGTAGGCTCTAGACTTCATTCAAATACGATTACTCATACTCAGAAACATAGTAATTCCACCACCAGATACTCTGTAACAGCTTTCCTACTCCATCCAGCTGCACATCCGTCTGCCGTCTGTTATTGTTTTTCTTCCTCCAGTTCAGTGTCTTGTTGACCCCGTGGGCAGTTTGTTTTTAATGGGTCAACAATGTCAGCAGTTTGGAGGAATTTTAACGTCAGGGACAAAGACAGAAGCGAAACTTACTGTAGGATTTCTTTTTCTGTTAGGATACGAGCAATTTAATAAAACTCCCAGAGAGGTATGCTACTTTCTTAGCACTAAATACGCTACTGCCTCTGCGCTAAATAAGCTAATGTCCTACAGTTCACATCTGCACAGTACGGTGTTGGTATTTGGTATTACATTGAACTCACTCACTGATCTGTCTCTTCTCCACTCAGGTGAGATACTGTCTGAAAACACTGAGAGAGCAAATGGCTGCTAAAAGTAAGGTAGGTTTATGCAGGCTGTTGTTGAAACTCCATTGTTAACCTTACATCCTGTAGGCCTTTCATGGCATTTCCTCCACCACTCTCACCTCCATCCCTAACTATCCTCCGGCTAACTTCCTTCTTTTCTCCCACAGCCACACACAAATGGTTGGAAAATGGGAATTCCCTTCAGGAAGAACACCTCATCCAACGCCAAGGCAGAAGCTAAATCTGATGTACAGGTGAGCCGCCTCCCAAAATAAACCACCTCTGTTCAGGGTTCACTGTGTACACAAGGGAATTTGTGAGCTTTGTCAAAGCTTCTTTACCATCTTGTATCAAAGCTCTGGTGCGAGGTTCTTGTCTGGACAGTGTGTGCTAATGTGAGGCCTGTAACGCAGACAGAAAACTTGGGCTAAACAGAAAAACAAAGTGAGACGTGACACTGGCTAAAACACAGATTTGATCTCAAAGTGTGAGCACACACTCACAGTGTTTCTTCACAGCACCCCAGGGTCTATGAAAGTGTGTGAAGTTTGCTCCAGCACACACTGTTCCACTGTCTGTCTGAGTTATTGTGTTAGGGCCCACCCATTGTTCCCAGCATTCCACGGATGTTTGGCCATTTAAAAATGTTGTTTCTCTCTTTGAGACGTGCGTTTTCAGGCACCATTACTACATCGCATGTCAACGACGTGTCGTATGAGCAAAGTTACGCTGATCAAACTGACTTTGGTCTAATTGTTTCTGTAGTAATTATAGTATTTACCCATGATTCATGCCGTGGATCGGGACTGGAGAAACACAACGTTAAACGTTGGCGATGATCTAAGTGCTCCAGTGACGCACTGGGACACTCCTGTTTTCACCATCACAGCCCCACCTACTGAGCTTGAGCAAAACTGTGCTTGTTTTAAATTACATCATCAGATGGAATGGGTCTGGCTATTATTTTTTTTCCACCTTGAAAATCCTGACTTTTTCTCTGTTAGGAGGATGACGAAGCAGAGAGGAACAAGCTGAGAGAAGTCAGTAAGCGCTTATACGCCCAGCTGCAGGAGGCTGAGAAGAAACACCAGGAGGAGAAGGAGAGGCTGCAGGTGAGGAGGAAAATAAAAGAATGTGTACCAGAAGGGGGTGCTACAAAGAGGGCCAACTGCTTCTCTTTAAGCCTATAATTAAGTCATTAAGATTTTGTTATATATTATATTCATAAAGTACTGATAAACAAATACTGTTGTGGGATGGGTCACGGTACTGTAGTACTAAAAATATTTTTGACAAAACCTGTTCAAGGGCCGCGTTTGGCTCATTGGAATCAACAAAGGTGTTTACGTCAGGTGCCCATCCTCACCCAACACTCACGGGTGTAATATGAGACGTTCTGGTGTAGGTGTCGTGCCCAGAGGGACAGTGTCACACAACTGGAATCTAACCCTACAGCAACTGGTTGGAACTCAACCTGAATTATATAACTCCTAATGTTTCCCAGGAGTTTGTGATCTCAGTTTGTTAGCTCGCAGTCCTTCACTGTCAAACCTGTTTGTGTTGTAAAGTGATGATCCTATTTAGAGGAAAAACTCCCAGGTGGGGGGGCGGAGCATCTGTTAGAACGACATGTGACTGAAAACCAAACCACTGAATAAAGGGGGTGGGGTTGTGTCCTGTTTCAGTCCAAAGTCCAAAAGGGGGTGAGGGATGGGGTGGGGTCGTGTCCTGTTTCAGTCCAAAGTCCAAAAACATTCATAAAGTTATTAGTTGATTCACAATTGAATTTAAATGTGAATCTCAGTGTGAATGGCTGTTTGTCTCTATGTGTGTCTGGATTAAACAATCTGCACATATGACGTTCATCAGTCAGGTTAACTTGATCCCAGTTTCTTGCACCAGATTTCTGATTCCGACACCGTGAGGTTGAAGACATGGTTGAATTGTAATGCATTGTTAAACAGACCAAACTTTCTCACCTCCAGGCTGAAGGCACCAGGCTGAAGGAGCGTTTGAGTGACCAGGAGGACAAACTGAAGACCACAGAGGAAGCCAGTGAGAGAAAGGACCAACGCATCGAAGAGCTGCAGAGGCTGCTGGGAGGCATGGCGCAAGAAAGCGCCACCTTGAGGGTGGAAATCCACAACCGTGAAGAGGAACTGCGGGAGCTGCGTGACTTCAGAAAGGAAGGCCAGCAGGGAAACCAGAGGTCTGAAAAAATAAAAAATAAAACACACATGAAATCTATCAATAAAGTTCTGTCAGTCAAACTACCATAAGAGTTCTATTTGTTTGAATATCGGTGTGATTTTTTTTTTTTACATTTGTTTGAATATCGGTATGATTTTCTTTTTTTAGAGCTGAACAGTTGGAGAAGGAAGTCGCAATTCTCAAAGAGAAAATCCACCATCTGGATGATATGTTGAAGAGCCAACAGAGGAAAGTCAGGCACATGATTGAACAGGTGAGACTCTTGATATGTGTGTGTGTGTGTGTGAGGCTACAGCAAACACGCTGTGTGCCTTGGTGTATCGTATTTGTGCAGGGCTTCACTCACAGTCTGTCTCCGGGTTTTTTCTTCAGCTGCAAAACTCTCGCATGGTGATCCAGGAGAGAGACCGTGTGATCAAGGAGCTGGAGGAGAAAGTGGCTTTTCTGGAGGCAGAGGTGAGCCAGGCAGGGAATCTGTGCAACGTCATATATTGGAGTTAGACAGATATATATATATGAACATTTTAAATATTAAAAAATATGATTTAACATACCCAGTGGAGTCCCCTCCTGGTAGTTGGTTGCTACTTCTAGTAAAATCTGTAAAACACATTGGTGCAACTGGACTCACGTGAACTGATGAGTGACCACTGCTGTGTTTACAGAACCGAGAGATGCACGACCAGATGGACTACTTTCTGGGTGAACAAAGGTCAAACTCCTACCTGTCATCAGAGCGGAACCCACAGATTGTCTACAGGTAAGTTGCTTGATGTTTAGTCAAAAACTTTAAATGTGTTCTTGGTCATGTTAAGGTGGAACAGACAGAGGCCAAAAAATACTGGGTAAAATACTGTGATACTGGTCTAAGTCTGAGGTGAAACCAGAGAAATTTGTCATTTTCTGTCTTCACCCATAAAACAGAGACACTTTATTTGTGAAGACTCTGAATGATGTAACACTTTTCTTCTTAACTACTTTCACAAGTCAAACAAACGTCTTCTTCTTCTCCTTCCTTTCCCAGTAAACCACTGAAGCCAAACACGACATCAAACAAACCGCTCCCCTTTATCAAAGTCATTGAGATCAAGTCGTGAAGGGACCCAGAAACACACAACTGAGATGAACAACGCAGAACCACTCACTCCACTTTTTGTCTCAGACTTCAATGACTGACAGTTATATATATATATATACATATATGTATGACTGACAGTTATATATATATATGTATATACATATATATATATGACATTTAAAGCTACACCTGTACTTTACCGCAGCAGAGTGCCAGTGTCCTGCCCTGTTGATTACGTTTTAACGTTATCAAAATATTTGTTGTTGTTGTTGTGATGTGCAAATTGTTAGGGCGACAGATAATTTGCCAACATGTAATGGGTAGGGCGACAGATAATTTGCCAACATGTGAAATAATAATAATAATTTAACTTTTGTGTACAGTCATGTAGCATCCAGTAACTGTTGTAGTCAAGACCACAAACCTGGGGAAGCTGTAAATAACGACTGTGGCTTGTATCAGGTCAACACCCTGTGCTGTACATTTGCACTCCCCGCATAACAATTTGACATTTAACACAAACTGAGGCCTGTGGAAGTTTAGATTTTCCTAAATATTTCTTTTTAAACATTTCATGCTCCCCACATTTTGTGTACAGATGTTTTGTTTTGTATGTTTGGATTTGATGTTGTAATTTCTAACAACTTTTTTTCTCTCCTCTGTATTTATTTATAAAATAAATAAATAGAAAAAAAAATCTGGTGTGTTAAATTCTTTTCGTATATGCCAAAAGAAAAAAGTCGCAAATGTAGGAAAACGAGTTAGCAGGAATTTGATTGATTTCAATGCTAAAAGATAATTACAGGTTGCTACTAAACTACTTAATAATTAAACATAAAAACACATGAGAAATGCCCCAGAAACCCCCAAATTCTTAAAAAGGCAATAAAATAGCTTTTTTTACTAAGAGTATAAGTTCCCTTTGTTTTTCTGACGGATAAAATTAAAGTCAACAAAGTAGACTGTCCTTAAAGAATCAAACATGTGAATTATTCGACGTGATCACC